TGTCCTCCACAACTAGACTGAAGAACAAAAGGACAGCAACTTGTCTGTTCCCCTTCCCCCAATTCCCCAGCACTGTTCCCATTCCCCCAATTCACCAATAAAAATCTTTAAAAAAAATAAAAAGAGAAACTACCTTATGACCTAGCAATTCCACTCCTGGGTATTTATCTTAAGAAATCCAACACAATAATTTGAAAAAAATATATGCACCCCTAACCCTTATGTTTACTGCAGTACTATTACAATAGCCAAGATATGTAAACAACCAAAATGCCGATCGACAGACAGCTGGATAAAGAAATTGTGGTACATTTATACAATGGAGTATTACTCTACCATAAAAAAGAATGAAATCTTGGGCCAACTGAGTGGCTTGTTGGTTAAGAGTTGGCTTGGGAGCGCGAGCTCTGAGCAGCAGGGCCGCTGCCCACATGAGCCAGTGACGCTGTGCCCTCTACAGCTAATATAGTAAACAACAGCTCGACATGGAGCTGGGCTGCCGTGAATCACCGGCGATGGTGTACGTAGACTGCAGTGGGCTGCCTTAAGCTACTGTGAGTGGCCGGCAGTGGGTGTGAGCTGCCATGAGCCACCGTGAGCGGCCGTCCAATGGCTGGAGAGCGACTGCCTCACCCGGGAAGAGCGCAATGATCATAATACCAACATGGGCCAGTGAAGCGACGTCCTCCACAACTAGACTGAAGAACAAAAGGAGAGCAACTTGTCTGTTCCCCTTCTCCCAATTCCCCAATAAAATCTTTAAAAAAAGAAGAAAAAAAAAGAATGAAATCTTACCATTTATAGCAACATGACTGGACCTAAAGGATATTTGCTGAGTAAAATAAATCAGACCGAGAAAGACAAATACTATATGATCTCACTTACATGTGAAATCCAAAGTACAAAATCAACAAACAAAATAGAAATAGTCTCAGAGATATGGAAACAGACTCATAACAAACTGATGGTTGCTAAATGGGAGGGGGTTTGTGTGAGAAAGGTGAAAAAATTAGGAATGACAAATTGGTAGCCATAAAATAGTCACACGGATGTGAAATACAATATAGAGAATATAGTCAATAATGTTCTAAAAACTATGTATGGTACCAGATGAGTACTAGACCAATTGGGGAAATCACTTCATAAATTATAAATGGTGTACACCTGAAACTAATATAAAATAATACTGAATGTCAACTATAAGTAAAATACACACACACACACACACACACACACACATACACATATATAGTCATGGGATGTAAAGTACAGCATAAGGAATATAGTCAATGGTATTGTAATAACTATGTATGGTGTCAGATGGGTTAGTGGACTTGTTGGGGTTATCAGTTTGTGAGGGGTGTAAATGTCTAATAGTTATGTTGTTTTGTATACCTGAAACTAATAATAAAAAAATAATAAAAAATAAATAAAAATGTTCATTTCAACTACAAAAAAAAGAACATAGGAAGGTTAAAGTAAATAAGATAGAAATATTATTAAAAAATAGCTGAATCAATACCAGACAAGTGGTTTTTAAGACAAAAAATCATTAGAGATAAAGATGGTCACTCACTATAGAGATACTGTAATTCTAAACTTCTTTGCAGCTAATCACATTGCTATATAAAACAAAAATGGACAGATATACAAGGAGAAATAGATAAATGTACCATAATAGTGGGTGATTTTAACATATTTTTCTCAGGAAATGATCAAAATAATGAAATGAAAAAAATTAGAAAAGATATGGAATATTTAAAGGACATGACTGAAAATATTAATAAAATAGACACATCTACAACACTAAACCCAGCAACTGAAGAACAGTGTATATACTCTTTTCAGGCATATATGAGACATTTGTAAAAACTGACTACATATTGGACCATAAAGCAAATCTCAACAATCTCTAAGAGTATTATCAGGCACACAACATTTCTGATTCAGAATGCAATTAACTAAGATATCAGTAGCAAAAAGATAAATAGAAATAACCATATATTTGGAAATTAAGGAATGTTTCTAAGTAAATCATAACTCAATGAAGGAATCAAAATGGAAATTGGAAAAAATTTGTAATGAAAAAATTAAGTAAAACATTTTCCTGAATTCTTGGTATACTTTTCAGTGTGTATAAGAGTAATGTAAAAAAATAAGTAGTTATTAACATTAAGTGTTTACACATAATTATGTATCTTAAAATTGTAACGTAGTTTACCTTTATTCAACATTTACCTTGCACATTCACTTGGTTCATCTGTGGCATTCTTCAGTAAAATATTTATGAGGTAATGCTAAAAACACAAAATTAAGTAAAATAAAAACTTTGTTTAGCAGTTGGTTTCCCACATGTTCTGACTGTGTTCCAGGCAGACAGAAGCTACTGAAGGACCAGGTTGCTCTGGAGAGTCTCCCATCAGGGATATCCTGGGGGAAGGAAACCCAGGGCTGGCGGGGCGATTCCCCTGGGCAATTAAGCCAGCCTGAAGAGAGTTTCTGGGTATACAATAAAAACATAGCAAAGCAAATGAGACTTCCAGATAGGAAAATCTTGGTTTTCTTTTACTTTAATTGGATTATACATTGAATTATATATTATAATTATGTACTATAGATAGGTAGATGATAGATAGACTGATTGATTCTTGGATTTGAAAAGCATTTTTGTTTGCCCAAAGTCAACTGAGCAGAGAACAAATGCTCACTTTTATTCTCCAATGAATAATTTGGAATATCAAATTATTAGTATTTAATCAGGCCGACAATGGGATTGAATATTTAGCTTATTTCAATGATTTCTTATAAATTAATTTGATATAATAATGCAGTATAATTAAACTAATTATAAAGGATAATTCATTACATAATTATGAGCCATAGGCATGATAAACAGGTGTAATAAAAAACACCCAAGGAACCTATCAGTTATAACTGCAATACGTATGCTCTGAATCTCACACATTTAATGCCCCTAAAACAGCCTTCTAAAAGAAAATGAAAAAGAAAACAAACAAGTATGGAAACACTTAAATGATATAGCAAAAGTTTCAGGGATAATTTGATCACAGTATAATAATGGAAGAGATACCATATAGCTAGAATTATAAAATGTTCAACTTGAGATTGAATCAAATGCATTACATACCTTGACATCTTCAGTTCCTGTAATGACCTCACTAACTTCCGGCACTGACTGCAGCAAAGGGATCTCCCGGTAGATATTTGGAAAGCAGACGAGAGAACCAAGAATGGTGAGAGCTTCAGAACGAGGTGCCTGCACAGAAAAATGTGAAACACACATTTTTCTTTTTGTAAGTTAGAAACTTTAGATAAGAAACAGCATAGTTTACTTTTTCATGGCTTTGAAAGGAAATTTCTTTATGATTATTTTCTCCTAGATAAGAAATATCAAACTATGCCTGGTTATTTCCCCCCAGGTGAATACTTAAGCAAGAGAGGTTTGCCTAAATGAAAAAGCAAGTTGCCAAAGAATTGAAAATATCACCATACTTGGATATAAACAAGCATTGTGAAAACCGGTCTGTAGGTGCACTCACTAAGAAAAGTAAATGACTAAGTCATGATCGTTTTTTTTTTTTTTTTTAGTGTTAATGCTTTTGACAAAGCAGGGTAAATGATATAAACTTAATATTAGTTTTGCTATGAAGACAGTTAATGGAAATTCATAAGGAAGAGGGGTTGGGGCTACCTGTCAGACGACAGGGAAAGAGAGAAGACACCATCTACCAAATTTCCTGTTCCACCAAGAAATACTTTACAAAATAACATATAGTGCCTGACATCTAGTGAGATACAAAATCACTTGTCATTATTGGAATTAGGTATATATTAGAGGAGGCATTTCACTAGATTTCAATTCACCCAACACTTACTAGCTGCTCTGATTAGCCAAGAATGGGGGCAGGCACCAGGATTACAAAGGCATGTCATCCATCCATCCATACACCTGTTAATCTGTCCCTCTGCCTATATGCTTTTATCTAATGATTAGAACAATGACAGCTAGCACATAAGGAGTTCTCTGTGCTGTGCAAGCATTTCCTCATGGAATGCCCTCAACAACCCAACGAAGTAGATACTATTATCATTTCCATTTTACAGGTTAGAAAATTGAGGCTTAGAGAAACTAAGCAGTTTTTTTCAGGTGACAGAGCTGATTTAAACTGAGGCCATCTAGCTCCTGGATCCACTCTGGACCTATACTGTTAAGCACGTGAGTAGGAAATGAAAGAGAGTTTCCCTCCCTCAGAGAGACGGCAGTGGGGTATGAGACTGGGGAGAAGAGGCAAATAACACTTATATATAACTCAATGAAGCAGGTGCCACGAGAGCCACACACCGCCAATGTCATGGGAGCCCAGGGTATTTATTTTTTACCTAGCCTGCTTCTCACCACCACACGGGTAAATAAAAGACAATATGAAACACACAGAGATATATTCTATGGGAACCAAGATGAGACAATGATTTGTTCTGCTTAGGATGGTTAGGAAGCACTAAAACAAACTGCGGCTAAGAGTCACATAGTGCAGTAGGAGTCAGCCAGGCAGGTGGACAGCAAGGGACTGAAGTGAGGAGGCAGAGGCACATTGCAGGCAGTGGGAATGGAAGAGGCAAAGGCACTCAGGGCACCCACTGAACTGTAAAAAGTCCCATGTGCACAGAACCCAGAGAACATGCGAGTGTGCGGGCAGGTGCTGGGGCGGGGTCCTCCAGTAGGAGGAGTCTGAGAAAGGCATCAAGGCTGCCTGGGAAGAGACCCACAGGCCACGTGGTAGTTTTCATCTCATTCCATCCGAGGAGTGATGCCATCAGATTCCTAACACCAGCAGGAGTGTGATGTGAATGGATGCTATCAGGGAAAGAAGAATATCATGGAGTCACTGAAATACAGTGTAGGTAAGAGTAATGACAGCTCTGAACAACAGCTCTGAATGGACCAATGGCATCAGGGATGAAGACACTGTATAATATTTGATTTCACTTATAAATACAAAGATTTTAAACTCCTACAGCAAAATGTTAAGATTTGCCAAAGTCGGTCAGTGAATGCAGTTTGTTACATGATGTCCACAATGCAAAACGCAATGATCACCATCTAGGCTTTTACTCACCTGACTCCTCAGCGGCACAGGATGCAGTTGCTAGCTGCCTTGCACCTGGGAACACTTGAATCATTTGGCCCCTGGGATACCATTTTGGTTCCCAAGGAGATCTGACAGTCTCCCTGCTGGAACTCCTCATTTCCTCAGGATCTAAACTCTGGGACTCTGAGCGCAGTTCTCTGCTCTCTTCTCTTAGATCTATACCCACAGGATACTCAGACCCATAGATTTAAATGCCTCCAACATGTTGCTTACTCCTCGACATGTCTCTAACCCAGACTTCCTTCCTGAAGTTCAGATTGGTAGATCTGACTGCTTGTTTGACGTCTTCACTCGGGAAATTGAGAAGGCATCTCTCACTGACAAGCTTCACCTTACCACAGAGTTCTGTAATTCTGTGTAACATTACCCTGCTGCCATCACTGTCCTTTTTTTTTTTTTTTTTAAAGAACTCTTTTTTAAAAGATTTTATTGGGGAGTTGGGGGAGGGGAACAGCGTTGGGGAATCAGGGAAGTGGAACAGATAAGTTGCTGTCCTTCTGTTCTTTAGTCTAGTTGTGGAGGATGTCGCTTCACTGGCCCATGTTGGTATTATCATTGCGTTCTTCCTGTGTGAGGCAGATTGGTCACCGGCCTCTGGACGGCCGCTCACGGCGGCTCTTGGCAGCTCACACCGGCTGCCAGCTGCTCACGCTGGCTGCCAGCCACACACAGTAGCTTATGTCAGCCCACTGCAGCAGGGGCTGCAGCCTACGCCATTGCTGGCGACTCACGGCAGCCCAGCTCCAGGTCGAGCTGTTGTCCACCATCTTAGCTGTAGAGGGCAGTGTCACTGTCCCCCATGTGGGATCCAAACAGGGGCCCTGCTGCTCAGAGCTGGGTACCAAGCCAGCTCTTAATCAATGTGCCACTCCGCTGGCCCTCCTCCTTGCTTCTTGATTGCTTTGTAAATCAGTTTCTGAATCCTAAACAATAGAAGTCTCCTACCCCTGCTTCAGATAACTACTTGAAAGCCTATGACTTCCTAATATCCCCCAGGCCAGTAAGCTAAATGCCAAACCCATTCTGGGCCCAGACAATTGACGCCACCTGAGTAACAGGCTGAATGGCAACAGGCTTCGTGAGAGCTAAATCTAATAATTAGATTTATTAATTAAAATCTACTTTTCCTCATCAGGGGCCTTGGGGATACAGAGGAAACCCCAACAAGATTGCAGTCACAACCAAAGAAGCCAGCGCGGTCTTCCAGGAGGAGCTTGAGACCCCTTCCTCTCATCTGAGATCAGTAAGGGTGAGAGTTCTGTGAATTCCCCAATAGGCAGGGACAACTCTACACCCCTGCCCAGCAGGAAGCAGATACAGAAGAAGAGACCTCCTGTCCCTCAGCTTCCCATAGGGATTTTATGGGGATCACGTCTCTCAAGGGGAAAACAAGGCAGGCAGTTAGAGGCAGGCATTGGGTCTCTGCATTCCTGCATGTCCCACAGGATGTGAATGCCTGGTGACCTCCCCTCTCAACCCAAAACTTCTTTTCACTGAAACTATTTACCCCTGAAACAAATGGGTGCAAAATACCCAACTAGATCAGACCAGTCACTCGCACCTGCGCAGTACCTCTTGTAAATCACAGGTGCCAATCAAGTGGTCCCACGCCCAAAGGGAAACAGCCCATTCTAGAGAAAGGGGATTAAAAACTCCAAGTCCTGGGAAGTCCACCCTTTTTTGGCTGCCCTGCTCTTTTGACCACTTCTTTTTTGAGCCTTTTGAGCCTCACCTTTGCAGTGGCCTGCTCCAAACTCTTTGGAATGTAATTTCTCTTCTAATAATGGGCCCTTAAGCCATTCTCTACTGCTCAGGCCTACTTCTACTCTTTGAAATGTAGTATCTCTTCGAATAAACTACCTTTTCAGTACTTTACTCCGGCATCTCGTTCAATTCTTTGCTCGAGCTGCCGAGGACCTGGACTTTGAGCTGAGAAGGGCCCAGTCTCCGACAACAGTATGATTTTCCTTTGTATATCCTGTAAGGTTTTCAATGTTGATGTGAATGGTTAAAAATAAATTTGACGGTTCTTTGAGAATGATTACCCTAAAATATTTTTCAGAAATAAACAAGTATTTAAAGTTAAAGTTGCCATAATCTTTACCAATTCAGCTGAACAAATTCAGCATTTTTCTTCTTCCTTTTTCCCCCCTCTAGTGCTTCTCTGTTCTTGTCTCTTTTCCTTTCCTTTGCTTTTAAATTTATCCTTAAGTGAAAAAGTGCATGAAAACACCACCACGAAATACCAGCTATACAAAGTATTAAAAAGCAATCTAATTTAAAGCCCAGGGTTGGAGTTTGAATCTACCCTGCACAGAAGAAATCAGTACAGTGAAAAAGTAACAATGTGTCAACGAAGTTTAGGTAGCTAGACACTCCTGCTGATTTCAATACAAGTCACTGGCCAACAGTAAGCTAATTTTATTTATACCATTGGAAGAGAAAAAAAAATGAGTCTAAACAGGTAACAGTTATACAGAGCACAAATGTGAGAAGCACTTTAAATATAAACGTATAAGAATATTCTCTCAAAAGGCATCTCAAGACACTGCCCAAATAGGAGGTAAATGAGGAGATTACAAGTAAATTCTTTTTGTAGCTTGTAATGAACATTTAGTCCACTTGCTTCTAATTTTTTTCATATAAGAATTTAGCATATTAATGAGAAAAATATATTCATTTTCTGGTTAAAATTTTAGTGTTCTAATATTTTAAGAAAATATTTTCTACTAGACTTCTAATAACCAAGACAATAATGAAAAAAATACCTTACTGATAATGTACACTTAAAATTCTCTCTTTAGTACGGATATAAATGCCACCACTTACTGGAAAAATGCTAATAAGATTCTAAGAGACATGCCCTGCTTCTGACTGTGTAAATGTGCTGCATTATTAGTGAGGATATGATTTCTCACACTCTGGCCTCTTGATGAAACGCCTTCCCAATACCAGTGTGTCATCTTATCCTACGATTTCACACGTCAGCTGCCAGGGCACCTACCCAAGAGCCCAGTTTCACATGGCAGTAATGAGCCAGCACCTGTTAAGAGTGGAGAAATCTGAACCTTGTTAGCGACTGTGAAGCCTCCTGGGAGTTTGGAGGCTGAGCATTGTCATACTCACCGCCAGCATGTCTGTACCGAGGACCCTGGCAGCAGCCGTGATGAAGTCCCCCACCAACATTGAAAAGCCAGGCAAACCCAGGGAGAAAAAGCGGGGTGGACAGTGCCTTATAATGGTGTTTAAGATATCCTAAAAGGGAAAAGAACACAACTGTAATTTTCAAGAACAAAATCCCAGAGGGATCAATTAGTCTATACATTACCACTATATGATCATCTAAGAGAACTCAGATTACAGAAATTTCTCAGTCAAAAGGGGTACTGGGAGATGAGTTAGTCCAAGGCCAATTGTGCCCATTTTACATGTAAGAGAATGGAGACACTACACTGGAAGATGACTTGTCCAAAATATAAATCGTGGCATTGGGACTAAATGCTGCTTCCGTCTTCCACCTAAAAGTGAGTTCCTTGGACATGCTACAGGAGAGTTGAGGTAAATATACAAATAAACCTTCAATTATCTATCATTTTCCACACTCTTCAATTTTCAAAAGTTAATCATACTGTTACATTAAAAAAATCTAAGTAGGCAAAGAGATAGAAATTTTCACTCTTCAGGTAATTCCAGGTGTTAAACAATTGGGAATGTATGGGGTGCTGTGGTAATGTCACCAGTCACACTCTAAGGTCAGGTAGTCAGTGTGGCTCCGAGCATAGGTGTGATCATGAGGTGCAAGTGCAAAGCACAGCAGTCATCTTTTGCATAGTGCCAGTGTGAAGACCATCAACTGCTGGCACACCTGGTGTTCCTAAGTCTGGTGGAATGGCGTCTCTCACTGGTGGGTGGGTGGGTGGGTGGCTGGCCCCTGTCTACCAGCTCCTTTCTGAGGCTGTTGCCCATCCTAGCCTGTGGCAAACCAGACCAGGACTCAACTACTGGACAGCATTCATGCCACCATGGCCAGGCCACATCTGTGAAACTATCTGTGTGATTGTATGTATAAGGGGGTTTAGTAAGAAAACAAAAACTTCTTTTATGCAGTTTTAGGCCATATACATTAATCCAACATGCTGAAGTACTATAGTTATGTGACTTGTAGTATACAACCTATAGTCTCAAAATACAAGACGCAAAATACGAAAACAATATAGTTTTTTTTCCTCAGATTTCAGTGTGGCTATTTCAAAAATCCTTCAAAATAATACCAAATTAATTTGGTTAAATTACAGCAAGTAGTAGCAACATGCTGAATTCTAACAAGTCCTTCACAATCAAAATAACATCATTTAACAACTTATCTTAATAGATAATTTTTATGTGTTCACAAAATATTTTTTAAGACTTATTTTTTTCCCTTACATAGTGGACTCATTTAGTTTCTAAAACTGTGCTGTTTGTATCCTTAAAATGACTGTACAATGCTTATTCTATTAGAGCTCAAATATAATAAATAGTTCAGCAAGTACTAATTTTAAGCGTTAGCATTTCAGCAGACTTTTTCCTGTACCAAAAATAAATACATAGATAAGACAGATAAAAGGAAGGAAGGAAAGAAAAACCCAAACCACACTTCTTCCAAGTTAATGTTTAAACCTGCTTTAATCACGTCCTTTGATACACTTTAGGGTCCATATCAGCCAAGGCAAACATTCTAAGGGGCTGAGCAGATGGATGCTGCAGTTTAGAAAGTGTGCGGTAAACTCATGCTCCGAAAGTGGAACAAAAGATCCACCTTTTTCATAATTAAGCCTCTGATTAATGCCCTGGGCTCCTCACCACACACCTGTAATTACTCACAGAGGTACGCATTGTGCTGGGCCTTGTCTCAGAATATCAGGCATCAAGCTATCCCACAGCAGATGGAAGCACATTTCTGTTGACATATGCTGCAATGAAAGGATTTGTGCAAACCTGGCTAGCAAGGTAGCAGAATGCCACGCATTTGAAGATTAATAATGCAAACAACCACAATGTTAACTTTGTTATATTTGTGTTCATTCCATCTGTTGAGATGAGGAACTAAACCTTGAACTCTGTAGATTTTTAAAATCTTTAGTCCATACTTAAATAAGCCATTTCCACAACTGGAATTTAGTGTTTTAATGAAAAAAATGTTTTTCTGGGATAAGTTTATGGGAATTATGAACTAAACCCTTTAATAAGTTAAAGCCAGAATTTGTACGTGAAATTCATTTTGCTTCATGAGATTCACAAGTGTAAAGGCAATGATCTGTAAATGTGGCATTTACAAAAATTTACTAAGTTGCCATTGATACTAAAGACAGCAGAAATGCATGTAGCTGAGGTAAAGTCACATGGCTCTCCACCCGCTGGACCTTGGCCAGTCACTTCAACGGAACCTGTTTCTATGGGCAAGACGATTGGAAAGAGAGGGCAAAATAACAGATGGCTAGCCTACAATACGCTGCCACCCATGAAAGACAGACCCCAGTGAGAAGTGGGGCCTGTGCTGCTATGGCCAGTTCAAGATGGCACAGGAGTAGGGTTAATGTGGGGGTTAAAGAGGGAAATATGTGGCCAGTGAGCCATATGATGGCCATATGCCTGCTTATTTTGCTTATCCACACTGAAATGGAATAACCCTAAGATTACATCTTTGTGATAACATTTTAAAGTTAGGAATAATTGTGTGGTATTCAAAAGGGCAGGTGCATATTCCCAAGAGAGAGACATTTTGTGGATACAAAATGCTCCACTCATTTCTAGTAGACTCTTTCTTTCACTTTCCCCTTGATACATTAAGATCACAGCTGTAACTGGAATCTTTGGAAAAATTAAAATCTTGAGACTCTGAAACTTTCTTCACATTCTCCAGGGTTTTATAGAAAGCCCTGAATGGCACTTCCCAAATGTCAATTATTCATGTACAACCTCATGCTTTTTGTCATGTCCACATCCAAAGTGAACATTATTTGTTTTTCAAAGTAACTTACTTTTTTGAACTGAAGATTATTCTAGAAAACTAGCATCCTGTGTCATAAATAGAAAATAACCCTTAAATCAATACAAAACAGTAAAGCAAGATGACTCAGTTTTTGCTGTCACTGTCTGATGGAGGCTCTCCTTGTTGAAAAGAGTGGTTTGCATCCTAGTGTGGTGTGAGAGAAGTTCTGTATCCGCTCCAGTCGGCCTACCCAAGAAAGTCGCAAGAACTGGAAAGGGGCCATTATTCCCACCATGCGACTTGATGCTATTCAATGCTACCTCCACTGTGACCACCAGTGAACCATTCCCCTCTAGAACTGGGACGATGAGGCCTGGGTTCCAAGCCTAGTGTCTGTGATTGTGGGCAGATCATGTCATGCCTAGAGCTTCACATTTCTCTTCCATAAAATGTATCTAATAGGATGGTAGATGTGAACACATGCCTCTGTAAACTGAAAAGGACAATACAGAAGTAAACAATGACAGGTAAGAAATTTTTTTTGTTTTCAAAACTGGAATGTCTATGAAAGAGTTTACTTTCTAGAATTTGCTTTGGAGAATTCAGTGAACTATTTACTGTTTTGCTGATATTCACAAAGAACATTTTAAAACATTTCAAAGGTGACACAAATACCGTATTTGCCGGCGTATAAGACGATTTTTTGGCCCTGAAAAATATGCCTCCAAGTGGGGGGTCGTCTTATACGCCAGGTACACTTCAGATAGACTGCCCATAGTGCTTGCCCCGTGCCATAGTGGCGTCCCGATGCCCGCCCACTTCATTCCACATACCGTTCAGGCATCAGCAGCGCTGCTGGGTGTATGCTCGGCTGTTATGCGATTTTGCTGTTATGCGATTTTACCACACTCGCAAAATCGCACACAGCCGACCATATAACAAACTCTGTATTTTGAGTGGAAATGTTAGGGGGTCGTCTTATACGCCGAGTCGTCTTATACGCCGGCAAATACGGTATATCTCTTAGATTACATTATCTCAGAAATTAAAAACTCTAGAAATGAATGCTTTCAAATAACACCCTTAGCAAAGTATTACAACAATTAGCCATTGTGTATAAGTGAAATAAAAACAGGAAAATGATCCTTTTAAATTTTCTTTGTTCCATTCTTCTAAAGAGTTCTAGAATTTACCTCAAACAAGTGAGTCTGGTAGCAAAAATCAGTTTGTTTCACACTCTAACATACTAAAAACAATAAGCTAAACATTAAGCTCAATAAAAAATGAACTCTAAAATAGGAATTGTTTATTCTTGAAAACTGACGAGTTTCAAACATAGACAAAACTTTTTCACAAGCTTTTGTTCAAAGGGAATAAAATTCATTCTTCAACATGCTGTAATATAGTGGACAGACCAGAAAACTAGTATTTTTCTCATTTTTTGTTAAAAGTCCACATGTACACTACATCCTGAGTGTGATAACCAGATTGTAAAATAATTTTGAATTTGCAGCTTATCAAAAGATTCAGGTTTATGAGAAAGTAACTGATGAGAACATCTGTCTCTTATCACTGATCTTACAAAAAATCAGGTAATTCAAATAGAGGCGTGTTGTTTCCTCTCCTCCAAAGCACAGTTCTATAAACACAAACCACATTCAGCCTGGTAAATGAATCGCTTTAATTGAATGCTATGTACACAGTAACTGGAAAAACCATAAGTGATAAGAAAAACATATGGTGATGGCAACAGAAATTGGTTTATTCATTTTGCATAGTGTTGTTTCTTTAGTTCTCTTATAATTGACCTGTAGAACGATAAACGTGTAAAATAATTTTGTTTATTATGGTTCCAAACCTTCCAACAATTACACAAAATGAAAAATTAAAAGGAAGAATTCATTCTGGAAGCATTTCTATTGTTTACATAATTGCACAGCTATAATTTAGTGCTCATGTTGTTATGGAAAATAAAAAAGGGCCATTACAGGCCATTTCAATTCAAAATATTGCACAGTGGTGTCAAAAATGAGGGAAAATATTTACTTTAAAGCTGTTTAAAATAGATTAACCCTGTAAATAAAAAACATTTCAATATAGTATTCTGTAAAATACAAATGTTCAAGAACTAGCCCTCCAATTGGAATTAGAAATGTTGCAACTGTACTTTCACACCAATTACATATATATTATTCACTTAATATTTGCTCATGGCCCAGCAGATGATGGATGTAACACAATAGCCAGCCATCTGTCTCCCTGCCTTTCCTTAGAGGACTCACGC